TGGATGGATGGGTGGATGGATGGGTGGATGGAAGGATGGGTGGATGGGTGGATGGATGGATGGGTGGATGGATGGGTGGATGGAAGGATGGGTGGGTGGGTGGATGCCCCTGGCCCAGGCCGCTCTACCATGGATCATGGGGAAGGCACAGCTCCAGCGACCACCAAAGCTGCCCGGACGTGTGTTTCAAGGGGGAAAGCTTGTGATGTGCGAATCACATCTCACGAAAGCTGCCTGAAAACACAAACAAGTTCACAGCAGCAGCACATGCCTGTAATCCCAGCTACTCTGGAGGCTGAGGCAGGAAGACTCCAAGTTCAAGCCCACCTTGGACCCCTTAGCAAGACCCTGTCTCGACATAAAAAGCACTGTGGGTGTGGCTCTGTCATAGACCCCAGCGCTGCAAAAGAACAAAATTAAAAATAAAGGCCAGCACCCTGAAGAATCTGGGAAGACAGCAGATCACAAGCTACGTGTCGTCCTCACCGAGAAGGGCAGAGGGCAGCTTGGAGGGGACAGACCCGCCCAGCCTCGGCACAGGCAGCTGGGCCCCAAACTGCGCCTGCTCACCCTGGCTCTGACGCTGTGGGGCACAGGGACAAGGCCTCTCAGGCAGGGCTGGGTTCCGGCCCACTCCATCCCTGCCATGTTCAGTCCTTGAGCCAGCAGGGAGCAGGCCTGGCAGGCTGTGGGCACCGGGAGGTGACCCTGCGGCCACTGGCGGGAAGTGACCCGCCCCACCCCCAACCAGCAGGCAGACTTTGCCCATCCTTGGCCAGCAGGGTCAGCACCAGCCCCAGCCAGCCAGGGACAGCAGGACCAGGCGGCCGATTAGATTAGTGTCAAGGGGGAGCACGGCCCTCACCAGAGCTGGCTCTGCATCCCGGCCCCCTCCCAAAGTCGAAGGTCACAGCTGGGGAGGAGGTGGGGAGGGGACCACACCCAGCGGACAGGAGGGCGGCTGGCAACAGGGACACTGGGTCCCCTTCGGGCTGGGTATTCAGAAGAGGGGACAGGGACCAAGCCGGGGAGCTGCTAGGAGAAGGAGCCACTGAAGTGTCCACTGGGGACAAGGGTGTTTTTAAACCAGTAACAGAACAAGCAGTGCCCACCCACTGACGCTATGCTCAGGGGAAGGCCGTTCCCCGCACGAGGGCCTCAAGGCAGCGCCCCAAGCACAGCAGGAAGCCGACATGGGAGCCGAGGGCTCACCCCACCCTCTGCAGACTGGCGGGCAGAGGAGCGGCCCTGTGCTCACCTCACCCAACTGCTTGCTTCAGAAGGGTGAATGTCAGCCAGGCGCAGTGACGCTTGCGGGTAGTCCCAGCACGCTAGGAGGCTGAGGCAGGAGGGTCACAAGTTTGAGGCCAGCCTGGGCAGCTTGGTGACTTAGCACGACCCTGTCCCAGAATAAAGAATAGAAGGGCTGGGGAAGCAGCTCAGTGTGAAGGCCCCGGGTTTGATCCCCAGTACTGGAAAACTAAACAAATAAGTTTTTAAAGTAGTGGAAACTTCAGAAGTAGGTGGATGAAAACTGCAAACAGTTTTACAAGTTTCACCATGTCGTTTAAAGGAAAACCAGGACATGTTGGGCGGCACCGCCCTGGCCTCAACAGAAGCAGCTCAGCCTGCTGGAGCCGTAGGACACAGTGGCCACACTGAGGGGACGCCCGCCCTCCCCGGCTGCTCCTGGAAGGGGCCGGCCGACCCCCTCATCCCTGGGACCCCCACTTCTGTCCCTCCTTCCCCAACCTGATGACCCGAGTTGCTGCACCTTCAAAGCCCTTTGGCCATTCGAGGCCACAGATCCACAGATCCACAGATCCCCGGGGTGGGACGTGGGCACCCCAGGGCCGGGTGCAGCCCACCAGCCCCTCCGACACGGGGGACCCCAGCAGCAGGTCAGAGTGGCTTGGCTGCCGATGCCCCAGGCCATGCCCAGGATGCCACCCCACCTTGCGGATCTGGTTGTTTCAGCCCCAAGAGAAATAGGACAGACAGTGGGAGGCGGCGCTCAGTGTCCGGGGGACGCTTTGTTCCCAGCAAGCCCCTTCCTCCAGCACTGTGGCTGCCTCCCCCAACCTCTGACCCGGTTTGTGGCGTCCCCAGCTCACGGAACACGAAGCCGAGCCCCACCCCAAGAAGGCTGGGGCCTCACAGGTCTGGGGCCCTGGCAGGCCAGATGCCCGCCCAGGTGGCATGGGAGCCGAGCAGCCTCAAACCCAGCAGGGTCCTCGGGACAGGGCCGGGGAGCAGAGGCCACTGCAACACACTTCAGCCGAGCCCAGGCCGCCCTCTCATTCCAGAGCTCCTACTCCTCACAACCCTGTCCCTCTCTGTCCGGGAGGTCGGCTCCAGGCCCATGGGGCTTCGGCTCAACAAGCCCTGGCCACCTCCTGCTCCCCTGGTCACAAACATGCGAAACCCTTCAGAATAAGTTCCTAAAAACCACTGAAGCTGGCTGTGGTGGAGCACACCTGTGGTCCCAACACTCAGGAGGCTGAGGCAGGAGGGTTGCCACAGGATCAAGGCCAGCCCGGGCTATGTAGTAAGACCCTCTCTCAAACAAACCAAACCACTTAAAATTTCCAATGTCCCCTTCGCTAGGAAAAAATCCCTCAGACTGAGCTGAGACTTCTGCTGTCTTCTAGTGGACGCCAGACTCAGCCATGGGCCAGGGAGCTCACAGGGTGTCCAACGTGCTGCCCACTTAGCAGGCAACTCCAGACCTCAGCACAGGGGCCGAGGGCGGAGAGCGGACTCCTTCCCTTCCCCCTCCCAACTTCCCTCCTTCCTTCATTCATTCCCAGCTCCTGGGCTCACGTCTGGAGAAGGCCCTGTGACCACAGTGTAGCCACAGTGGTGCCAGCCCACACAGTAAGTAGGCAAGGACCATGGGCACCAGCGTCACTGCTTGGTTAAGTATCAGACAGAAAGCCCTGCATTTCTAGAGAGGCTTGAGACCAGGCAGGCCTGCGACCCCATCCCACCAATGGGAAGGAAGTCCATTGGCGACATCTGGGGAAAGTTCCTCTTCCAATAAAAGATCTCTGCAGAGCCCTCCTACTGCTATGTCCCTCTCTTCTGGTCTTGAATGGTGTTGTGG